ATGGATGGATGGATGGATGGATGGATGGATGGATGGATGGATGGACAAGTTCAGTTCCCTGCCTGCAAATTTCAGCTGCTTTCTTTCAACTGAACCAAAAATCTGTGAAGTATCTCACGAATGACATCAAAAATTCTCCCAGAATCTGAGCCTAAAAATAATCACATTCACAATTTTTACTTTGATATTTAAACATGTCACGCATGTTGGACATGCATGTTGGACATGTGACCTCCAACAGGACACGTGTCCTGATGGAGGTCAAAGAACATTAAGTTTGATTAGGAGTTCCTGTCCCTGATGTTCTGAGGACAGTCACTCCAACCAGACTCTCAGCTGCATCACTGCAACACTTTCATGGCCAAATGTGGATTCTGTCAGACGTGCAACGGTTTAAAAGACACAACGCCGCCCGTCCTCCCGTCAGAACAAACTAAAAACTGCATCGTAAACTGAGGATCAGCGCTAACCATTTCACTTATCAGTGCTTTAAATGATGCTGACAGAATTTAATCAAATAATTAGAGAATGTAATATCAGCAATCCAGCATGTTGTAGTTCTCTAATGTTAGTAAAAAAAAAAAAAACATGAGCAAACTAACAGTTTTGCTTGTGTAGCTAAACCCGGATCAGTTTAATAAACTAACACCGTTCTGGCCTGAGGCAGGTTCTAGGTGTGTGCATGTGTCACAACTATCCTATAATTACCGTTATTTAGGATCGTGGTGATCACGTCTGCACGGAGGTCGAAGCTGTTCTCTTCCATGTGTCTGAAACAAATGAACAAAACCAACAGAGACGTCAGACTGACCCATTTTTATATTCGATATGTTCAATTTGTGCATCATTCTTTCATATCTTGCTCTAATAAATGCTTGTTCAAAAAAAAAACTGAAAAGAACACAAAAATAAGTTTTTGTTTTCGTATTAATTTCAAATAAATCTCTGTAATTTTAACAGCTGCAACATTATTAATGAATAATTAGAAAGTTTATATCAAATAATAAAAATAAAAATCAATTAAACCATAAACCACAATGATGAATCTGACAATAAATGAACGGATGTTTCCTTTTAGTGAGAGGTGTGTGTAGGACCACACAGACAGTCTGCCAAAAGCAACATAATTAAAACATGCAGTCCAGTCTGACACTGAAATCCTACATGGATCCTGGGCAGAATATCAAACAAGTGAGACTTTTTTATTTGTTTCCACAGAGCGCAGAGCTTCAGGCTATTAAGAATAAAAAAACAAAAATCTGACGACACAAGGAAAACACTGGGAGCGCTGGGAAATCTAATGTAACGCAACCATCCAGCAACTGTAATTACAGACTGAAGAAAACCAGGAAGGAACCTTCTGTGGACCTGATAAGGAGGCAGACGGCCTCAGAGAACATTGTCGTTTTCAGCCGGTGGGGCTGTGGGGGCCTGGTGAAGGGCAGAGCGCCGCAGAATTATCTCAGCTCTCTGAAATCTGGCTGCATGTCCCGACAGCAGAGCCAAAACAAAAGCAGAAGTTTCAGGTGTGTGACAGTTCACCGACAGATAACAGTAGCTGTCCGTCAGTTTCAGCGCAGAGAGCAGTTCTCGTTGCACAAACAGGAGCAGGTATGTGACGACGGCTGCCTGCAGGCTCACCAACCACATTCAGTCGTCTCAGGGACTGAACAGAAACATTCATTTATAAAAATATTAATTGAACTTTATTTATCTGAGGAGCAGCTTTGAGTTTAACTCCATCACTGAACTCTCATCTTGAGCAAGCAGGAAGGCGACAGTGGAAAGAAACAAACTCCCTCATGAGGAAGAAACCTTTAGCAGAACCAGGATCAGGACAAGAGGACTATCTGCTTCGACCGGCTGGGTTTGGTAATAGATACACAATGGCAGGTCAAGAATCACATGTTAAGATACAAATAGTATTAAATGAAAACTATTCAGTTTTAACAATTCATTTAAGGAAATGAGGACAACCTAACTATAGGATTTATCAAAAAGGAAAGTCTTAAACTGGTCAATGTGTCAGCCTCATGGACAGAAACTGGAAGTTGGTTCCACAAGAGAGGAGCCTGAGAACTGAAAGATCTTCCTCCCATTCTGCTGCTGGAAACTCTAGGAACCGCGAGTAAACCTGCAGTCTGAGAGCGAAGTGCTCTGTTAGGAAAATATGGAACAATAAGATCTTGAATATAAGATGGAGCTAGGTTGTTGAGAGCTTTGTAGATTAGAAGTAGGATTTTGAATTCTATTCTGGATTTGACAGGGAGCCAATGGAGAGAAGCCAAAACTGGAGAGACATGATCTCTCCCAGTAACTCCAGTTAAGACTCTGGCAGCAGCATTTTGGATCAACTGAAGACGTTTTAAAGAAGTTTTTGGACACCCAGATAATAAATCATTGCAATAGTCCAGTCTAGACAAATGCATAAACCAGTTTTGTATACAGTGTGAATGAATTAAAAATGAACCAAACACTCTGTCATCTTTAGGCATAAACAATGTAGCAACAGAGTCAAAGATCAGTGCGTGTCAGTCTTTAATCTACGTGAGAGGGGCACAATGAAGATTTAGTCAAATTATTTCAGGAACAGCAGTCGAGCCAGGCTCAGAATAGACAAGTGTCTCGTTACAGAAGAAAACAACACGTGACCTGAACATGGACAACATGAACAGAGCAAACAAGTCTGTGATCAACAGGCAAGAGTTCTGAGCTTGCTTCTTATAAAATCACTAAATCTGAAAAAATATCATTTGTTGCACAATAAAGTTTTTGAGCAGGTGATGCAACACTGCAAGTGTCTGAGCGTCTGGCGCCCTGTGGAACTCCGAGGAGTTCTATTTAGTTTCAATTCAGTTGTGACATTTTCCTCGTCAGGAGGAATTAAACCAGTGACTCCATGTTTGAGTTATTCTAATCTAACCTGTTGTTGAAGAAAAAGATTCCTACTGACCAAAACAAACTTTTATTGCAGCAATTGATTCCTTAAACCTAAAGTTTTAATAAAAGAAAATGATTCAGCGTTCCTAAAGACAAGTTAACGCCACCTGAGAGGAGCAACGCACGAGAAGCTGTTTTTGAAAGAATAAGTAGAATAGTGCAGTTTCTATAAAAGATGCAAAGATAAGAAGCAGTCAGGTGCCGTTATTCAGATAAACGGATTAACTGATCATCAATAAACAACAATTTTGCTGCTTTGGTGCATTCAGGTGGTTTGGAGCTTCTGGAAACACCTGGTGTCAGTTGGGAAGGGTTGTAAGACCATTTGTAATACTGTGGTGTCCATCGTTCCGAAAGACTATTCATCAGTTGAAAATGTTGAGGACAGTTTTAGCAAGTTCCAGGTTCAGACTTGTTCTAACCCTCAGAGCTACGACTCAAACTCGACGGAGTCCAGTCGGGACGTCAAATGTTAAAGTTCACGACAGAAAACACAGAAAGACACGGAGCAAGTGGAGGAGGAGCTGCCAGGTGCGTGCCTGGTTTGTAAAAAGAATACCAAGATCTGCGGAACAAGCCACACAATTCCTGCATCCGAGGTTTTTAGAGCAGCTGTCAAAGATCGTAGGATGTAGTGCAGATTGTAGGAAACGTAACTCCTCAGACAAACGGTGGCAGAGTGACGATTTGGGTGAGAAGCTTCTCCTCCAGTTTCATCCATCTTGAACAAAGAGTTCAACAAAACTAGAGCTAAATGTGACCTTTTTTTTTTTTTACATCTAAAGACGCGCTGATTTGCTCAAGCGTTGCTAAATTATGTTCAAAGTCCAAACCTTGATCGGTTTTAAATCGGACTAATCTAAAGCTGTGATGAGAAAAATATTTATCCCAGTAAAGTTGGTTTTACAAGCTTTGACTCACAGGAAGTACTGTATGTGGGTTTTCACACTGTTTCTACTTTTCGCATTAGTTTTTGTTCACATACACAATGAAAGACAAAATGTTGTTTATCGAAGGTTTACTTCACTGACCAGATCTAATCTAAATACCTCCCCATCAATATGTTGCACTTCCAGGGGTGGAAGTAACGAACTACAAACACTCACTGTAATTAAGTAGATTTTTTTGGGTACTTGTACTTTTATGAGTTTCTTTCAAGTGTGTAATTTTACTCATACTACAGTACAATGTAGACCATGTAATCTACTTTGATACTTTTAAAATGAGACATCACTAAAGAGTACGGCTACAATTTGAATTAATATTCAAACCATTCATCTGCATCTTTGTACCAGTAAGGCTCTCAGATCACGAACGCACCAATTACCTATGACGTAAGCAAAGGACAACTCCGTAGAGTCGAGTCTTTCATGGGCTGAAGATTTGGAGACAAAGCCAAAATGGAGATAAACAGCACTGTCAACAGAGAAAATGACGAGGTAAAGGCTGAGGACGAGTGCACGTGGCCGTACCTGGAGGAATGTTTCATGTGCAGAGGGTGAAAAGGAGACAGCGTCCAGATGAAAACTGTGTTTGATCTCTACAGTGACAGCAGCTTACAAGACTTCAGCATCTAATCTCAAAAAACATATTCAGGTATACGAGGTTTTACAACTACCTGTGTGATATTGCTGTTTTATTGTTTGTATGTGTGGGTTACTAGTTTGGCAAAGTATGCAAAGATCTTGGATACTGTCACTGCCATCTGTTTAACTGGTACTACAATAAGACGGAGCGTCTGAGAAATGAGCTGCTGTTATTTAAAGTAAATCAAACTGAATGATTTCTATTGACAACACAATAAAACATCAACTGGTTAAAAAGTAATGAATACTCTGAGTAGTTTTTGAGGAGTACTTTGTACTTTTAGTTAAGTATTTGTATAACACCGGTATTCACTTGTAACTGAGTACAATTTAAGCAGTGTAACGGTACTTGTACTTGAGTACAAATGTTCAGTACTCGTTCCACCCCTGAAGTGTCACGCCACAGCGAGCAGCGTTTTCCACCAAACTCTGTTGGTTCCTCTCTCGCGCACGCCTGGACGCACGTGTCCGTTCTGGTGCCGCGGAACAAGGAAGGAAACACGCTGCAGAGAGGAAGAAGAGAGTTTACAACGCCTCACCGGCAATAATGAGCCCAAGCTTCCAACCTCAGAGGGTTCATTGAGCTGCGTGGAGCTTCGCTTCAGGCGCATGACGTTCTTTCGTGTCTCATTGGTAAAGAGCTGATTGATTCAATCTCCTGAGGTTCAAAAATTGATTTAGCTATTGCATTTAATCTCTGTTTAGTCGTACCTGCTGTAGACGTTTGTATCAGGTTTTAATGATTTAACAATCAGAACGCAAGACTTCGCTGACGTTTGCCGTCACCGTGATAGACGAGAGACAGATAAATCTGTCATTACAACACTGAGACTCTTTGGGTTCGTCATCTTTGACTCATCCTGATCTGTTGTCATGCAGCGAGCGTCAAACGCAGCTCGAACTAACAGCTCGTTGAGTCCATAAGGTTGTAAATCAGGAAGACAAAGGAATTAGCACTAGCTCCTTTATTACATAAGGATCATTATCCATCCATCCATCCATTATCTTTACTGCTTCTTCTTTTTTTGGGTCATGGGGTCACCAGTGTCCCTATCCAGCAGTAGCTCTCTAGAGTCACCAAACATGCATGTTTCTGGTCTGTGGGAGGAAATCGGAGTACCTGGAGAAAACCCACGCAGCACGGAGAGAACATCCACCCAGAAAGGCCCCTGGACCGGGGTTTGAACCAAGGACCTGCTCGCTGAGAGGCAGCAGCTCTACCAACTGTTGCATCATCATTATCCAGACCTTCATTTCTCTGTAATTGCGGTCTGAGCAGCTTTCGACACCGTTTGCTTCTCACCACACTGTTGTTAGGTTAAACTGGAGTAAAGCTGCAAAGTGTAGGTTAAAACTGAAAGGCTAGCTGTAATTTACACTTTTATTTAGCTGAAGTGCTAAAACCCATGTCTGAAAGCTCATTCAGAGCTTTTGGTTCGAAACATGTGGATGTTGTGTTAATGCCACCTGCACTGGTTTGTGTTTTTTCTCTTGTGGTGCAAGTTAAACCAAAGTTAATTTTGTTCAAATGAATGTGAATAAGAGATTTGTGACCTCCTGCTGTTTGCTCATCGTCTGAGCTCAGGATGGAGCTGAGGGCTAAAAAATACAAACCTGACTCAGAATTAAACTTGTAAAGAAGTGAGCATGTGCACAACTTCACACCAGAAATGTTTTATTATTACTGTCTTTTTAAAGTGTAAGTAACCATAAAATACTTTAACGTGACTGAAAGAAAAAATCCTTAATGACGTGAATTATTTATTTTCATTTTAAATTTGATGCCATTAAAATCTTTCTTAAAATATTGGAAAATAGTGTAACATACTGGTGTTACATCAATGCTGAGAGTGCTGTTATATTAATATATATATTAATATATATATATATGTGTGTGTGTGTGTGTGTTTTTGCCCAAAGCTCTTATTGAAAACATTTTTATATTTAATGGTCAAAAACTAAAACTTGAATATGTGATGACATCATCTCTGCTACACGTATCTAAACACATTTACAACGAGCAGCAATGAGAGGGTCTGCAGAAATATAGAAAAGGCACATTATAATTTTGGTTATAATCATGTTTGTTTTGTGGAGGCTTTTTTTCTAAACTTTAAAATAGTAAAAAAAAAAAAATACCAAACACAAAACTTCAATATGTACCATAAGTTAAAGAAAAGTGCCACAAAATTAGTATTTATGGTAAATGAGACAATAAGAGCAGCAGTAAAACCCTTTTCCTCTCTTTTGGAGAACATCAGTCAGCTCTTATCAAAAACTCATTCCAGCCACTTTAGGATCATTTCACTCAGTAAGAATTCAACCATGTGCTGAGATTTTCCAAACCAGGCTCCACCTCTCTGTAGAGCACTGAACAGATAAAAGGTTTATTATATAGTAAATATTTGACAGAAACAAGAGGAAGAGGAGAGAGGAAAAGATCAGCATTGTGGACCTGGACAACGCTGAACGTTTTCACCAGAGTTCACGCTTTGCTGTCCGTCAAAAGGGATTTAAATCCAAAGAGAAGAAGCAAAAGATCCTGAAACATTTTATTTTGCTGAGCTGTCAAGAGAAACATGTAAATAATGAATTCTGCGTCCTCTCGGGCTAATCAGAACTGATCATCCAGTGGCGATGTGCTGATGCACATGAAGGTGCATTTCTCAAATAACGTGGAAACATGAACATCTGGTAAACGGACTACATTTAAATAGCTCTTTTGTAGTCAGTCACATTCACCCATTCATTCATTCATTCACCGACCAGGGAGGCCAGGATCAAAGCCTCTGATTGACAGATGACAGCTCTTCCTCCTGAATCATAATAATAATAATAATAATTATTATTATTATGAATTTTCTTTCCCTTTCTTTTTTTTTTTGTTACAGGAAAGTTTTTGCTTTCTTGAGCAACAAAATGCCATCTTCCATCTGCTATTATTTAATGAATAATAAAACATGGATGATAAGGTAACGGATGATTCAAACTGTGGGAAACATCTCGTGTTAAGTAAAAATGGAAAATTATTTCTACGTAAAAAAACTGCAAAAAACAAAAAAAAGTGGTTTATGAATTCTAGATTCTAAACTCGTCACGGATGTCACAACTGAACTATCTGATACTTTTTAATTTTTCCATTTACATCATTTATTTTGACTTCTTTGTCATAGCGAACGCATGACTTAATGTAATGAGATGCAGAAACCAGTTATTCTCTTCCAGTATGTGTACTGGTATTTGACCATCACTGATTCAGTTATGATTAGAAAGGTTGATTCTTTCAGTGGCATGAATCTATTGTAAAATATACAGGAAGTGACTTCTCACAAAACAGGAAGAAGGATAACAGCTGTGTGTGTGTGACTGTTTAAATCTATAAAAGCATGCTGGGAATTATGCATCATCTTTGCATGAATCATAACCTGGCTGAGAGGAAGGCAAAACTCTTTTCCATCAGAGAAAAACAACCGTGTCCAATCCAGGTGTGCATTTTAACCTGAAGTTTAACCTGCTGCTCTCACTGGAAAACCACAACAGAGTCTGTCTTTGTGCTTCATTCAAAAACCTGCACCACACCTTTTTTATTACACTACAGTTGTGTCAGTCCAACCTGAAGCCAGGGAGCCTGGAAAGTCCGGAAGCTGAAGAGCAGGTGGAGTCAGTCTGGGAAACGGCTGAAATAAACTATAATGATGGGATTTAAACGTAAAGAAAGCCTTGTTAGGGAATAGCTCACTCAGTTTGGAGTGGATCTGATCTGAGTTTGAGGAGTTACTCTGGAGCTGATACAACTGATTTATGACACTGAGCAGCAGCATAGTTAAAAAAAATCAAGTTGTGCAAGCAGTGAGATAAGCTTTGTGTTATCAGGAAGCAGCCCAGATGTCTGCCTCCTCTCAGAAAGCCTTCAATCAAGACTTCATGATAACAGCTGGAGTTCAGCACATGTTTCAGAAAGCCTTCAGAAACAACCAAACTTTCAACAATGGTTTAATCACTAAAAGAGTATTTAACTCGTAATAACTTCTAATGCAATGGCTGGTTCATAAAATGATAATGAGCACAATTTACATCTAATCTTGTCAAACAGGTCTAAATAATCTGCCAGATGCCTCCGGGTCTCCAGGATTAGGCAGCAAATACAGAAAAGTACAAAAAGACCTTACCTCATGTTTAAATCCAAACTCTCCCTGGTTCCAGTGTCATCTGGAAGGAGCAGAGGTGCTGGACTGGTGTGTCCTCAGCCAGTTTGAGCAGCTGGGTCAGAGGGAGGTGCTCAGTGGGACACAGCCCACAACTGCTGCTTCTCTTTAATCCAGACACTTTTCACTGTTTAACCCAGTCCTTCTGCACAACACTGAAGGGAATTAAGCTTCCGGCTTTATAACAAAGCAGGATTTACACGCTAAAGTTTGATATGTGGGCAAAAGAATTAAAAACAAAAAACTGAATAAATCAATCAGTAACTGCTTCATCCTGATGCAAAGTGTACTTTAGTCCGAGTCTGCCAGGCGCCGCACGTCCCCAGACCCCAGATTGACAAAAACAACTTTGCAGCCCACGTTTCACTGCGTGTCAGCAGAAACTGTAATCTGGCTGCGCGTTCACGAAACCACCGAATAAACCGCGCAAACACGAAAAGGCTGCGGACCCGACGTCGCGGTGAAATGTCGCCACCTGGCGGTCAAATGTATGAACTACAGTTTGAGTTTTCCTGTTTCCGGATATTCGCAGACAAAAAAAAATAATAATAATAATAAATGCAGTGGATTAAATAGTGTTTTGTTAAATTTTAAGTTTGATTTTTATTTCGGTGGGTTTTTTAAGGTCCTGTAAAAGTTAGGTGTTTTAAACGCTGTGTTAAATTGTTTAAGTAGTACTTGCTAATTGTGTGCTTGTGTTGTCATCTCTCTTGGTTGTGCGCATTTATTATTTATTTTATTTAAGCAGGAGGAGATGATAAAAAAAAAAGTCTGCCAGTGTTGAGCACCAACCTGTCATGCCATTTTAACCAGAATAATTAAAGTTGTTTTGACTTTAAAGTTTTCTATCATTTCTGTGAGTCATGTTGTGAAAATGATTAATTTTTCTATAATTATTATGTAACCAAAAGAGAAGTGAAGTTATATAAAGTTAAGTGTAGGAACAGCATGTGACGTAATCGTGACGGAAGCTGCTCTCAGCGCAGCATCCTCGCCACACCCTCCTCCTCCTCCTCCTCCTCCTCCTCCTCGGTGTGCAGCAGCAGGACCACCAGCAGGAAGGAGCATGATGGCATCTATCCTGATTGTTTTGGCTCTGACAGCTGCAGTCTGCGATGGCATCGTCCCTGACATCGTAGACTCAGGGATCAATCACATCGTGGAAGGACCATCTGAGCTGGACCACATCTTTGTGGAGCGGCTGCCAGAAGATCCGCAGCAAAAGGATGCGCTTCCCCAAGTAGGCAGCTAAAAGTCTCAGTCAGCATCTGGCTGGCATCATCACACTGCATGAGCCTTTCAAACACAGGGGAAGTACATGTGAAGAGGAGTTTAGGGGCAGATGTGTCTTTAATATTGTTCTTTTTTTAAATCAATATTTTATCTGTGATCCATCAGGTAAACACGAGCTCTGAGCTTCCTGTGAGTCGTCAGAATGAAACTGTGTCTGACAAGGTGACCGCTCGCTCATCTCCAGACCAGGTTGTTAACAAAGAAGAAACAATGAGTTTAATCAAATAACACAATTCAACAAACGTCTCTCTTTTGTGCAGAAAACGAACCGTACTTCAGCTGCCAGTGACCTGGAGAATGACATTGATCATGTGAGTCTGTTCCGTGTGCTTTCCGTCACTAAATGATGAAGTGAGCAGAGAGTTGAGATTTTCAGCTGCTCAGCTTGAGCTTCCTCCGGTTGCGTAATATCTGCTGACTCAGCAGTCTGCCAACAAATAGATCAAGTGTTCGTGATTTATTTATCTGTGCGTCATATTAATCAAATTAAAGTAGGGAACCGTGAGTGTGTGCAGCTGATTTGTCAAAAAGATGATTGCACAAAAAAAAAAGAAACCACTGAAAATTGTGTGTAAATAATTGATGATGTGCTTTGAGCTTTAATCTGCAACTAGAATTCACAATCAGGACTAAAGTTGCTTACTGAGACTGTTATTTGCCAACAACAACAAAAAAGTTATCTCAAAGATATTCTGTGTACAAAATGATAATCCTGCAATAACGGATGTTAGATATAAACTGGGTCTGTTCAGGTTTATTTATTGCTGGTATAAGAATTAGATTAAACCTCAGAGCTCCAAAAAGTATTTCTTTGTTCTTGCAGGGATGCATCACTGATGATGACTGTGAGGAAGGACGATACTGCCTTTCTGACACTCACAACTCCAAGTGTCAGCCGTGTAAAGAAACCGATGTGGTGAGGGATTATAATTTACCGTTCTTTGCACTGAATCGTTGTTTTGGTTAGCGTCCTCGAACTCGAACATGTAATTTTTGTCCATTTCCAATTGTCAGTAAACATTTATAGGCATGCGGTCGTTAAAAATGTCACTGACTCATCATTTAGTAATTAATTATTGTAAAATGAGATTTACTGTGATGATAACAAATACGCATTTAGGTTTTAATGCAGAAATAAAGCATTACTTTTAAAGTGTACACATTTAGGCGATAAAACTGGAACTACTTCATATATTTTCTAATATTTAGAAGTAAAACTTGAATTAGGAAGAGGTTAGCATTAGCAGTATTTTAGTGGGATGAACTGTCTTTAAATAAAACTATAGCACATATTATTTCAGGAGTTTTTGTCTCTCACACACACACACTGTAGTGCTGCTGGGATTTCACATGCACTGCATTGCAGCTGTTTCCACAAGTGTAACTGGAGTGTGTTGTTCATGAACGTTCCTTCCTGCAGGCTTCACGTGGAAGAGGCCGAGTCAAGGTTAAACAAGAGCTTGTGCCTCCGACGGAACAACACTTAATTTTATTTATTCGCACTGTTCTTGTGTGTTCTGATCCTCAGATTCGATTGCATTGTCTCTGGAAGGAATGGTTTGGATGTCGTAGAGTAATCCAAAGGGATAAACATGTCGGCGGTTTGCCAAACAAGCGTTAATAAATAAGGAGGGCATGTGTCTTGTTGAAATCACTGCACTGAAGAAGTGTGTGGAAACTGCCCCGTCCTGGTTTGACCAAATCAAAAAGAGTCATCTCATCAAACTAGCCTGCTGATCTTATTTAAATTTAATCCCACGAGGTGACATCATCACATTTCAAGCTTGGAGAACCATTCACTTGCGTTAGACTGATGAGTTTCAGCGTTTTGTTTTTAAATTTTGTGCACACGATCAGTTCTCATCTCTGTGGTTTTCAGGTCGGCTGCATCAACTTGTTGACACGTCTTGTGTTTTTCAGTCTTGTACCAAAGATGCTGAGTGCTGCAGTGAGCAGTTGTGTGTGTGGGGCCAGTGCAGCCAGAATGCAACAAAGGGAGAGGCTGGCAGCACGTGCCAGCAGCAGACTGACTGCAGCCCTGACCTCTGCTGTGCTTTCCATGAAGGTCAAACTCTGCACATCTTTCTGTTTGAACCGATCGCCGCACGTTCACTCAGGACATGCGTGTTTGTTTCGTGTCCTCAGCCCTGTCCTCCCCCGTTTGTTTGGCCAAACCCATGGAACGGGAGCGCTGCTTCAGTGACTCCAACCACCTGATGGAGCTGCTGTCGTGGGACACACAGGAGCGGGGGCCCAGGAGACACTGTCCCTGTGCAGGAGACCTTCAGTGTCAGCACCTGGGGTGAGCGCAGCATGTTTACTGCGCTGCTTAAACAAGTTTATTTCAAACCGATGGTTAATGTGGTGCTGCACTGTGTGACAGGCGGGGGTCCATGTGCCTGAAAGGAGAGGAGTCCAGTGAAGAGGACCTGACGGACTCCCTGTACTCAGAGATAGACTACATACTTTAAACTGCGTCAGGGTGTTTAAAAATCAGAAACATTGCACTTCTGCCTCCTACATTTGAGAGCATAATGTTGTATGAGAGCATAATGTTGTATGAGAGCATAATGTTGTTTGAGAGCATAATGTTGTTTGAGAGCATAATGTTGTTTGAGAGCATAATGTTGTCACAGCAGTGTTAACGAGATTCAGATCGTCTGAACTCGGCTTCTTTTGCACTCATCAGGATGAACAGATAATAAAACTTTAGGCATTTTGTTTCTTCTAACAAACATTGCAGCCTCCAACACTTACATCCTCACTCAAATGCTTCTTCAGCACTTTTCACTTGTTAAAGACAGACAAATCTTTAGACAAATGTTTGTTCATGTTTTGGATTTACTGTGTTATTTATTTAATTGTGTGCAATTATATTTTAATAGTTTGACACAGTAAATATTGTGATTATTCTGGTGTGAAAGCGTTACTTGTAACTAAAAACTCCCAACTATGGTGATGATGTAATTTTTTTTTTTTAAACCCTCTGTGGACACAAAAAACGATTTGTCTTTGTCGATCTCTTCTGGTCAGTTGAAACTGAACGGGGACGGCCTTGAAACGTTTCCTCCATCAGATAATTAATTACAAGTACCTTGCATAAGACTGTAAAGCTAAAGTGCTAACGAGATCCTAAATTAAGAAACGATGATTTGCTGATGGTTTAAAGAAACGCACATCTGGCAAAGATATTTGATCCTTCGTCTTCTCTCCAGTGGCGTTTCACACTCGCAGGTTTCTGCCGTGCTGATTCTCTAAAGTCTAATCAGGTAAATTAAAAAATATTCGTGTTGGGTGTCAAACGATTGTCAGCAGAAATCAGAAGAATCCAGGCGGTTTATATCGTGTGCACGGCAGCTGTCGAATCCTAAAGTCTAACAATAAAAACATCTGCCTTGTATATTTTTTATATTTAAGGACTTCTTTATAAACCGTCCTAACGTTTTGAATTCTACCAAACATAAGCTGGATTATCAGTCTGGCCCTGTGCGTTATTCAAGCTGCACCTGAAGTATCGCAAAACACTTCAAACATCATTTATATTCAAATAATAAAAGTTGTTTTAAGATGTCACTCGATTTGCTGTGCACACCTCCAGCTGTTCGTTTGGTGACAAACCTGAGAACTTGGAAAATGCATGTGCGCATTTCTTCAACTTATTTCATTTTCAACGAGTCATTTTGTGAAAAGAATAAAATAAAACAGCACTTTATTTCTAAAATCTTCTTCACCTATTTTCACACAGGATTTCTCAAAGAAATTAACAAAAAAATAAAGAAGGTTGTGAATAGCTGGTGAGACGTTCTCAGAAGACGGGAGCTTTAATTCTCCACCCAGTCACAAAGAGAAGTCCAGCGGGGCGTCTACACCCTCAGGTGTCAGCCAGCTGCTGCAGACAGATGTGCTCGCTGAGAAACACCCCGAGTGTGTCCATCCCGCTCATACACTCACAGATCACAGAACATAACGATCCCCGTCATGTGCACGCAGCTCAACGGGTGCAAAACACAAAACAAATACATTTTCCAAATTAAAGTTCGAACAGACAGTAGATGAGTTTCTGGAGCCTCACGAGACCCAACCGATTTAAGTCTCAACCAAAATAATTTACAATAAAACAGAAAATCCTGCAGCCTACTTGATTTTGCTTCATTTCACTTTATGAATTAAACACCAGCACACCAAATGGAAGTGACGAGACAGGAGAGCTCCTACAAAGCATGAGCAGCATCAACGCATCACTCCGGACACTTTAGGAGCCAAAAACAACTTTTAGGTTAGAAATTATTTATCGCCAGTATTTTTCCTTCAGTGTCAAAGAGAGGGCGAGGTTTGTTTCGTTAGAAGACTGCGGAGGTTTCGACACGCAGTTCTTGGTTGTGCTGCTTTTAAAGAGCGTCCTGACCGAGCGGCGCTCGAAGGTGAGGGAACACTAAAGTTACGCGACGGTCACAGAGGAGTCAGAATCAACACTTTGTCCCAAACAAACAGAAGGAGAGAGAAAGTGCCTAATTTCAAAGGAGAGACTTGCAAAGACACGATGGGTGCCATTCAGGTCAGTTCCAGTCCCAAATTCTCCACGTCAGAAGCTTTTTTTTATTTCAAATGATTTGTCAGTACAGTAGTCTTCTTCTCCTGCGACACCAGCTTTTGTACTTCCCTTTAAATTTTATAGTACAGTATACTATAGTGCACAGCAGGTGCTGGAGCCAGCCCAGGGGCTCTGAGCGAGAGCACGTCCACCTCGAAACGCTGCTCGACTTCAAGTCACTTTTGGGCTCGACGTTCAGTCCCCATGTCTGGTTGCTCTCCTGCAGCGGCCAGACAATCTGCCACAGAGTGACCGTCAGTGCTTCAGTCCTGCCCGGGGTCTCTCAGGGGACCACCGTCCAAGTAGATCTTCAAGGCCTTCTCTTTTCGCGGAGAGTAACTGACACGATGTCCCGTCTTCAGCAGTCGACTGCTTTCCTTCTTCAGTAGCTCGTTACGCTCGTCCTCCGAGAGCTCCAGAGGTTCCTCTCTGCTGTCCCTGCACCAAAACAATCACAAAACTATAATAATAATAATAACAATAGCAAGATACAATAAAAACCAGCAACATCACAATAACGGTCAAATCAAACATCAACAGTGACAGTTACTTCGTTGTCTTCATTTCTTTTCACTGAAATGTAAAAACGATTTTTAGCTCAGAAGATACTTTTTCAAACAATCTTAATCTGACCACACCACTTTGTTCTGTTCTTGGTTTTAAAAATCCTAATTTGTTATACACTGGGTTTATTATTCAGCCCTAAAGCAAGCCATGAATATGACGAGAAAATAATATGAAATATGATTACAAGACGGGGACACTGACCACCGAGCTACTGCAGCTGCACGATACGTCAAGACTGCTCATTCTTATTTCTCTTTGCTAAATGATTGACAGAAAAAAAATGTAAATAAACTTGTTTGAACTAATCTATTACCTGTAGAAGACCACAGCGCCATCATCACAGATGTAAAGAGGCCACACATTAAGGGTTGACACCTTAGGGTTCCAGTCCAGATCCTGATGGATTTCCAACACCGATATGTCACAAGGGAATGTTCCTCTGCCCTGCAAAGAGAACGTTTGTTAATAAATCCATAATATCAAAAGTAAGGTACCATTTAAGATAATGAAGTCATCACCTTTGCAAACTCCAGGTCTTCAAGAGGAATACCACCGATTTCACTGAGCTGCAACATAAAACGAGAAACAATGAGAAACTTTTTGGTCTTTGTTATTGTACTTTTTGCCATATAAGTTGCACCTTTTTGCATAAATTTGCGTTCCCAACTTATCCGGCGAAGCGACTACTATACGTTTTTCCCCCATATTTAAAACTCAATTTTTGGCTGAGATCTGACGATTTAATTCATTCTGACATGGAAAATATTGAACACTACCATTTTCAGCTGCTAGACGGCGCTCGAGTTGTATGGCAAGCCTCATTAATAGGTAAAAGTGGCTATTAATGAGACACCTGGCTTGCCATACAGAGCCACCTTCATTTCGCTCTGGAACTCCTGGAGCAACCGTCAAATCAGCTGCTTTTTGCCGCCTAGGCGAAACGCAGCTGATTTGACCATTAAAGTCCGTTTACTAAGGAAAAGTTCAACTGAGACACACCTTCACTATAACGTCGAGCAAACAAATAATTGTTTTTAAGTGTTAATCTTGTTAAATTCTTGCTAAAGACCTCCCGTGCACGCTCCTGCGGCCGCCATTTGGCAGCCAATCGATTTTTAGCACAACACCGGCCCACGTTTCCGGGTTGTCAGCGGTGACGTACAACAAATGCGGCACGTCAGCGGTGACGCATAATAGATGCGACTTATACGGCGAAGCAACGCATTTGTTTTTTTCCCACTTTATTAGACATATTTGGACCGATGCAACTTTTACGGCGGTGCGACGTGTACGGCGGCAAGTACGGTAATCAAAATCCTTCACAAAAAAAATTACAAGGCACAATGGCAAAGAGAACAAGGGCGCTAATTCAACTCGATGTCAGCCCGTTGAACATAACAACTGATAGCATAGACTAGGGCTGGGCCATATCATATCGTTCACGATAATACCGGTAAAAAAAGTTTGCCCGGGCAAAAAAATGATATCAAGATATGCTAATTTCATGACGTAATACGTCAGGGCGCCCCACCCCCTTAACAGAACAGAGCGTGCCGAACGAACACACCGAATTGCTCACCCCCCTCCACCAGTCGGTACTGGTGTGACACTAATTAGCTGTGCGCAATACTAGCTAGCTAAAAAGCTACAAACAACGCACAGCTCAGCTGTCCCTCCATCCAGCTCTAAACTGCCGGTAGAAACACGCGCAGCTCAACTGTCTCTTGAGATCCACAGTCCATGGACCAGGAACAGAGTCATGTGATCAGAGACAGAGTCATGTGATCAGGGACAGAGTCATGTGATCAGAGACAGAGTCATGTGATCAGGGACAGGGTCATGTGATCAGGGACAGAGTCATGTGATCAGGGACAGAGTCATGTGATCAGAGACAGAGTCATGTGATCAG